ACTACGGTAAGTAAGTTTAATTTAACTTTAACTTAACTAACTACCTACTACTACACTACTACTATATAGTAGTAACGTAAAGTAACTATATACTATATATATATATATATATATATATATATATATATATACTGAAATCCTTAGGTTGGTTGTACAGATGACCATCTGCACGACCTTTCAATTAGTATGATACAGGCTTTAGGTAGAGCTGGGCGTGACCTAGTCCAGGTTTTGAGTGATGCCATTGAACACGCTTTGTACTTTCTGCTTTGAGCAAGTGTTATAAAAGTGACAGACAATCCACTTATTCGACTGGAAAAGCCGGACATAGCTCTTGACGGCGGATGCTGCTTACTGGCTACCCTCCCTTGTCAGTAGTTCAAAAGACGGTTATATCTGAACCACAGGGATCTTTTGACCTGACCGTTTAACCCACATGTGCCAGGTCTGGACTGTAAATCCGAGAATTTATGGTTGTGAACCTTTTCTACAGAAACGTGCTCCGCAATTTGGTGCCTTGAGTGCGGTATAAAAGTGACTGTCCGTTCTCGCTATTCTATCAGCCAAGAGTTGGCGGCGAGTAATATATTGACTACCTCTCTATTCTAACAATTCAAAAATAGGGACGGCTATGTGCTGGTAGTTCGTTGTGTAGCTTTGCGCAAAATTCTGAAACAACAAACAAATCCTAACATTAAACGAATACAGAGAGGTTTGAGTACGTTATATTAAAACGAATTTGAATATGCAGATCGGCAAGTCACGTGTCATCCACAGCGTATAGAAAGTCGTGGTAGAAAGGAATATGTTTGGCATTTTGTAGGAAGTGTGATGCTACTGAAAAATGATCACTTTTGGGAATAATATACCCCTTTCCGACGTAACATATCCGTACACTCAAATCATAAAGATGTGTTCAGGCCGGGAATTTAGAATTTCCAAGACGAGGATATCTCTTGTACTTAATGGCATTGGAAACAAAGGAGTGTGGATCAACTTGGGTTATCAGAACTATCCAGAAAGAGACCTACAACAGGTCTTACCCCGGCCATGGTAGGTAAAGAGCGGCGTCTTGTAACAGACAAGAATCTATGAGCACAAAGGTCAGTGGCACAAACCGTCTATGTACCCCAGATAACAGTATCCAACAGAATAAGGAAAAAAATTCAATTACAAAACGACGCAGATCATTCATACAATACTTCCATGACATATCCAGAAATGTTTAGGAAACTGTATGAATGATACCTATTCCGGGGGTTGGGATGGCAGTACATAGTGACCCCGGACAAAGGTATATGTACCTTGATAACTGTAACAAGTCTCACGTTATTTTCTTCATATTAATGGATAAAACAAATTTTCGAAGGTGGTACACGACATATCGCGAAACTTTTTCGAAACGATTCACGATCACTAAATACTGCATAATTCGCAAGTTAGTGATCAGGAAAGTGGATACGTAGGTTAAAGTGATCTTTCTTTGTGTTATACCAAAGTTCATTTTCCTTTTTACTACAAAAAATTGACTTTTTTTACGTAAACTAGGCCAACAGGGCATGGGCTCCCATTCATATCTGTCGTTCAACTGTCCCATACCTCATGGAGCTGGATAATGAAAATGGTATTCGTGGTATTCCATACGAGTACATACCGGTCAAGTCGTCTGATGCAACGCCTGTGAAATTTTCTGAGATCGGACTGAATAAAGGGGCGATGGGAAACAGTTGTCTTTGTACATGAGATGGATGATGTATAGCCATCAGGTAGGAGTTGTGCGCTTTGGGCGTGACAGAATTTCGACGGAGACATTTGAATAGAAATATGCTTCATTGTTATTATCAAAACAGATGGTCGTCATATAGAGCATGACCGAACTGGAGACAAGGACTCGAACGATGTATTTGTGTGGAGCTGGCAAACATTTTGAAACCCTTTTATTAGTCCAAGTCAGTTCGAATTAAAGAAACAATGCACTCTTACCAGAACATCTTTAGATAGTACTCTAGAACATATATTTACAAACTATTAGTAGTAAATCGCCTTTCATATTGCTATATAGACGTAGTCATTCTCAGTGCGGGGTATTACTGTGTTATTGATTATGTAAAGTTGAATTAGAACTGTTTGTTTTTCAGCATTAAAGCTGTCGATGTAGCTGCGAGTTGTTATCCAAAAGAATTTTAGCTATTTTCAACTATCTTACTTTTGAAACAAATTAATTAATTTAGAAATTAATTAAGAAATAAACATTAACACGCTTTAAGAAGGCATCTGAAGAAACTCTGAAAGTTGTGAAACTTAATCGTGTGCTTCAAACAGACGTAATTCCTTATAAAATTCATTAATCATTAACGAACTGCGCACGCTCTTTTTATCCAAGCAAAGATTCAGCTATCAAGAGGAATGGTCTATGTAGCAATTAAAGTGGTATGCTACAGATACTAAATTATTTCTACGTAGTTACACTTATAGCAGCAACTCCGTTTTATAATTAATATATATATATTTTTTTCTAGACACACGTGTATAATGTCTTTTAACGAGTTGTTAAGCTGGTAAATTTAATGTGTTTGTTTATTAAAATAACCATCTTACAATAATACTTATGTTTTTATTACCACGTAGAGCTGATAAAACCTTACAAGATATTGTCTACAAATTGGTTCCCGGACTATTTCGAAGTAAGTCATGCATTTTTCATCCCTAGCTAACAAGTTTTAAAAATCAATATCACGTGCATTTGTTTAGATTACCGTAGGTTTTTTAAAGTTTTCCTTTTTTCTTTAAGTGTAGGCTCCAACATGTGAACGTTTTTTCTTTCTTCTTATAATTATGAGCTGTAATATATGTTGTTCTTTTTCACACAATATCTGCAGCTAACGATTGATTATAAATAGTTAGATAATGTTATTTCGAGTATCAAACTAACTTGATATGTAAAAGTTACACTTTCATCGCCGAAAATAATAGGCCTAATCTTTCTGATAAAAATAAATAAATATGCAGCTGTTGATTTTCTTTACATTCTTCCGAAATGGACAAATTGAGAAAAATGTGGAAAAACCCATCTAAAGTTTACGTGAATTTTATCACAAGTGTTAGGCCTATTACTTTGATATATTTCTGTGGTTAAGCAATTATTGGCTACTTTTAAAGGTTTAAATGCATTTTATATATAATATATGTGTTCCGAAGCTCACTTTTCGGAATTAAGCCACGAGACCATCGTCTCAAGTGGACTTCCACTAAGTTTAAGATATTTCTTAAACGCCGTGAGTTTGTACTTAATAATAAAACTATACCAAAGAAGTAAACCACCAAGTCGTGTTACTTTCAAAAACAATGGGAATATGTGCTTAATAATAAAACTATACCAAAGAAGTAAACCACCAAGTCGTGTTACCTTCATAAACAATGGGAGTATGTGCTTAATAATAAAACTATACCAAAGAAGTAAACCACCAAGTCGTGTTACTTTCATAAACAATGGGAGTATGTGCTTAATAATAAAACTATACCAAAGAAGTAAACCACCAAGTCGTGTTACTTTCATAAACAATGGGAGTATGTGCTTAATAATAAAACTATACCAAAGAAGTAAACCACCAAGTCGTGTTACCTAGATGAACAAGTAGAGGTATCCAAAGGAGTGTGGTTACCATATTGTGTTACCTTCATAAACACTGTGAGTATTTACTTAATCATAAAACTATATTCCTGGTTACCCAAGTTTTTAATACAGAAACAAGTTTTCTTGTTTGGTGTTCCAAGTTGTTAATCCAGAACCAAATTTCTTTGTTGGGTGTCCCAAGTTTTAATACAGAACTAAGTTTCGTTCGCTGTTGGGTGTTCCAAGTTTTACTGTCGAGTATTCACGTTTTGATTCAGCTTCCACATTGAGTGCTTTGGCTCTAATTCAGTACCAAGAAGTAAACTGTGTGGGCAGCAGGAGGTAAATGGTTGAAGTTGGTTTGCTGCAGGTGGTTGTCAGAACTTTACGTGCATTAATGAACAATTGGATATCCTGCTGAAGTTAGTAACATTAAAACTACTGTTACACAATATTTACTACTTCACCTGCTGATCTTGTTTACCCGATTATTTGGGAAAAATTATATTGTTTTAAACAAATAACTGCAGTTCACTTGAAACTAGGTATTCATAAATACACGTTCTCTTCGTAATATGTATTTATATTATCAAAACTGAGAGGCCTTAATAATAATCTCTGAAGCAGGTGTTTTTTATGTTTAACTAAAAACTGAAATGAACTTTTCTGAATTACTAAAACAGTTAAACGTATCCAGTGGAATCATAGCTGCTCGCCCCCCCCCCCCCAGTGGCACAGCGGTATGTCTGCGGACTTACAACGCTAGATACCGGGTTTCGATACCCGTGTTGGATAGCCCATTGTGTAGCTTTGTGCATAATTCCAAGCAAACAATCATTTCTGCTTTATTAATGTGCAGAAAAGACGTGTGTCAGTTCAAAATTCTCATTAACGTTGTATGGTAAAACTAAAAATTAGTTCAAAATCTCAATAATTTACGGAAGCACTTTTTATTTAAATGTCCTTCTTTATTATAATTTATTTATATTTATCTGATGGTGGCAAAATTTAATGTAATTTATAGAGTGTTTTTGTCAATTTAATTGGGTTATTTGATGGAATCCCCGTATATTGTCTGGATGAAACAAGCTTCACATAGATAAACAAGCGTAATATCAGATCTCGTCAGTGACAGAGGGGAAACCTTCTGTACGTCCACGTTATATCCGTTCGATACCAATTAATCATCAAGTAGACGGGTCACGATGTTACCCTAAGGGGAGAATCGCGACACCTCCAAGAAAACGTTTTTCTCGTGTTCTTAGTTTGAAGAAAACTGGTTTGTTGTGAGCTGGTAATAAATAACACTGCAATGGTCGACAATAGCTTCTCGTGTTGTCGAAGGTCAGCATTGCTATGGATGTAACTTTGTTCGAATCACACAAACACTTTTTTACACTTTCCACGTGACTGTCATAACTTAGTTCTGATTAACAGAGTTTGGTAGCATTGTAATTGGAACTTAAGTGAACCGCTCTGCTGTTTTTGTTGAAGACATAAAGAAACTTCTCATCTTAATAATATGATTTATTCTTCAAGTTTCATCACGTTTTGCGAAAAGGAATTTATAATTGTATTTTTCGTACGTGTTTGCAGAAAGTTCTTTTCGAAATTTAATGCAAAGTCTAAAGCTTTGCCAATCACCCTTTTAAAAATACGTTTTTATTAACTTAACCTGTCTAAGCACAGTATATTAGTTACTTACCATCTGTTTTAATTTGTTAGCCCCGTGTCTTAGCAGATCTTATGATTAGTTTGTTATAACCTCATGTCTATTTTCTTCTAGATGAAATGAAACGCCGAAGAGACTTCTACGAAACTAACCCAGAAGCAGGTAAATGGTCATACGTTTTGTTAGGTTTATAAAAAATGTCAGTTTACGGTAACCGTAGCAACAGTACAATATTCACTATGCTGCTCAGAAGCTGCAAATTAAGGTTATGGTTTAATTGAGATGTATAATAAACTGCAACATCTTCATTTTAACTCCAGGAAATGAATGAAATAAGTGCCCTTATCAGGCTGCATAACCTTTGAATGCGTGCAACATTTCGTGAAAATGGATCTATGTAGTTTTATCATGCTGGTTAACTCGCATATGTGCGATTCCAACCAGCCTACGTGGCACCAAGTTATCATTAGGCAAGTCGAGTTGAATTACAAAAGTGCACAATGAGTAAACTCGTTGAAAATTTAATGAGATGTAATGTTGTAATAGTTATTCGAAAATTAAGAATACGTTGTAGTAGATCGCCGATTATCCGGATGAAATTCTAAAAATTAAAAATATCTACATACATGTATGTATTTACTTTATCCTGATATGCTTCGATTACTTCGAAGCAAAGGGTATATTTCGCCACAGAATCATCAGTTGTGACATTAGCCTTGTTCAGTACGGATGTGCGTTGTGTTTCCTTAAAAAATAAAAACGTGTATGTATATCACATTAAAGTTGTTCTTTGTTGGGGTGAAAATATCTACTAAACGCACAAGAATGTTTTCTTTGTTGAGTGACAAAGTGAACATTGTGAACAAGATGGAAAAAAGATGTGAAAAGCTAGCAAAGAAATATTGTAAGATCTGTGTTCAAGAATTACGATTTTTTAATATTGTCCAGTTATCCGGATTTTTGATTATCCGCACAACACTTGGTCCCAATTAGTCTGGCAAGTTGGGGCTCCAGCGCATTTAGAAGCACACTCTTATAATTACAAAGGTAAACAAAAACGTTGACAAAAAAAATTTTCAAACAGCCAGCTATGACAAAGGACGGCGATATAATGACTATCAGACAACATATTTAAATACATTGTGTTAGATGGATAAAGCACACGAGCACATATATATACATATATAATGTTTGACATCAATTAAACAACTGTTGTCGTTTATATTGTATCAAAAAATTGCTGGCTGCTTGAAAAACCTCAGTGTAATATATAATAAAAATATTACAATGGCTCAGAAATGATTTCGACATCAAAAAATTGCTGGCTGCTTGAAAATCCTCAGTGTAATACATAATAAAAATATTACAATGGCTCAGAAATGATTTCGGCGCAATCTGGTTTCGTAACTTGAACAATATTCTATCAAATAGTGATTTGTTCGAAAGGATTGAGCTACTGAAAACGTATAAAATTAATTCAATTGTCTGTAAACAATCCGATCCAAACAATTATGTTAATCAATTGGAAACCTCGCAATGATTTGCTAAAAGCACTTGAAACTTTAAAACAAATACCTCAAGAAATGTTCTGGAGAACTTGCCCAAATCAAGTACAAGTATATAATATTTTATGTAATATCACTTACGATCCATTAAACGGGAGCTTTAAGGTGTTATGGAAGAAACTGCTTATATTTAAATCATATCATCATGGTGATTTATATAAAATTCATACATTGTACTATAGCTACCGTGTAACTTAGAAGAAATTATGCGTCAGTTAATATGACACTCTAGAGTAATCTATTGAAAATTATAGTGGGAGAACACTGGGTAGGGAAAACGAAAGTTTTGTAATTTATTAAATATTATTCGAAATCTTTAAGCGATTTGTTCCAGTTAATGTGGAAAACTTACCTCGAAATAACTACCAGATATATTGAGAAGTAATACGGTTCTTAGGTTAAACAAAAACCTAAAAGTAAAAGGATCGAACACAACATATGTACCTCTCCAAGTTATTTTTTAACTATGCTGAATAAATTCCGTAAAGGCTTGAAATTATTACGTTAAGCAAATAATAATTGATTGCATGCCACAAGTATGCCAAAAAATGAATGTATTAACAGTTTGTCGAACCATTACGTCACAGAATTGGTAGTGAAACAGAGGGAGGTACATTAGATAGAACCTTGGTCATATGATGTAAAAAACAGTTTGTCGAACCATTACGTCACAGAATTGGTAGTTAAGCAGAGTGAGGTGCACTATATAGAACCTTGGTCATATGATGTAAAAACAGTTTGTCGAACCATTACGTCACAGAATTGGTAGTTAAGC